TTAACTGTGTCCGAATGACACTTCCTCATTAAATTGCAGAAACGGGGAGCGATACCATAATGTTTGCAACTTCTGGCCTCTTTGATCAAGTATAAAGTGATTTGGTTAGTAAAGGTCATATGTCAACTCCGATGTCTGTCAGTGTGTCTTTCTCTGAATGTGTATGTGCCTGTTTGTGTTTGTCAAGAAGTTTTCTTGACTCGTTAGCTTCAATTTTGTTGTAACGATGTTACCTCGCTCTGATGATGTCCGTCATATGACGGACGAAAGCTTAGCACCTTTCCACCTGAATCGAAGGAGATTGCCTCGGAAACAGCGTCAGAATGAATCTTCCAGTAAAGCCAATCGACAGCTGGTCAAGAGGAATCCGCCACCATCTTCTGGTGGAACCGACCTTCGAATCTTTTGACCAGACACTTTCACTCGAAATGGAATTAAGCTCAACAATGTTATATTAAACAGGAAAAAAGATGAGAGATGTTCGAGGCTAGTCATTAGAAAATTTGTCCAATATCAGCTGAGCCATCGGATGGGACAGACAGTTATTTTTATACTCTTAACATGAGAACATGACGTGACTAAAAGAGTAAGAATACAAGGGCTAAATGTTTCCATGAATTTCGTTAATAAGAGATAGTTTTATAAGGCAAAGCGATACAAAAAAAGCGCTTTAGGTCTTCTATAAAGTTTAATAGGGCCCTTTACTTACTTATGCAGGAAACTTCAATGGAAGGAATAAAGGGAGAAAGAGAAGAAAGACCAACTAAGGCTAGGATATAAAATTAAAATATAAAAAAAAGTTGAAACATAAGTACGTTATAGGTACGAAGTGGATTTAAATCGGTAAAAATTCAATAAAATATTACTTTAATTGTAGCTGCATAGACAAGACGAAACAGTTGCCGGTCAGAGCTGGCTACCTGAACAGTAAGACCAAGAACACTAAGAAGAATCGTAATAAGGAAGAAACCACTGCTCCACTCTAGCTCCTGCTCCACATGTTGCACAGTCTCACGTTGTAGGCTATTCATGTCCTGAAATAAGATTACGCATTGGAATGATAACATCTACATGGGTTATAGATATTACAGTGAAAAAGGAATACAAACAAGATTTTAGGGACTTGATGAGTCATATTAATTTTTCTGAAACAGAGAGGTTCATCAAGACCCATAAAGGTCGTTATAATCGGTAACACTCGTGTAATACTTTGTAGCTAAAACCCTGGAAGCTGAATAATATTCAAAAACAGCGCCTCTGGGTTTGATACTAGTGGTAGTAATATGTATTTTTCTTTTACTAACGCGAGTTTTAATTGAACATAAATAAAGCAGGCTATTTATTGTGAAAGCAAAATATGCGATAGTTGGGTCCAATATCATGTGAACAAATAATCTAAGTAGGTATTGCAAAAGAAATTGGTGAAATTTCACGAAATTGATTCAAGCTTAAGCAAATAAGAGGAGTATATAATATCAGAGGGCTAAAAAATAATTTCGGACAAGCAGAGGTTAGATATTGTTTACGTATGAAAGCACCAATTTATAAGAATACTAATGCCTGTTTTATTTCTATACATATTTTTGTTTATAATGCTGAGCTATAGAAGGGAAAAGAGATAGAGCTATGCTAGCTCAAGAAGCTAAAATAGAGTACTAAATGAAATATTAATTATTTTTAGTTATTATTATTTATTTACTTATTAATTCGATAAGAGATATTATATAAGTATACACACAGAGTAATGGGTCACAAGCAAGAAGATCGCATAAAAGAAAAAAGTGTGTGTATTTCGCCTACCTGAACAAAGGAGAGTAACTTGAGCAAGGCATGCATATAGTCCATAAAGTTACGACGCAAAGTGTCATCCCACCAACCAGGGCTGGGCAATAGTTGTTCAGATCGATTAGAACTAGATGTAATATTATCGGGTTCCGAAGAAGAGACTTGATCACGACCCTCCGAGCCACCACTAATTGGAACCAATTCTCCCTCCAAAGGTCGAACATTTACCAAGCTAGCAAGGACATAATTGACATCGTGAATGGCATGAAAAAGACGCTCAAATGGCTCGAACCAAGAGCGTCCTAGGTGTCGGCCTGCTTGCCATGAAAGCACAAGTGGAGTTGGTATATGCCAGCTGGAAGAGAATGGTCCGGAGAGATTGCTACCGCTGTGTTCGATAGTACCCAAATTCTTGTATGTAGGTAAACCAGCCATCCATGGAGTTGGACAATCAACCAGTGCATCATCTTCATCTTCCATATCTAATCAAATAAATATAATAGTATATAAATATATAATAAGTGATAAAGAATGGAAAGTGAAGTTCTAAAGGAGTGGATGAATAGTAAAAGGAAGGAATATAGAATAGAGACAAGAGGGATACTGGATAAGAATAAGAATAAGTTAATTCAATATAAAATATGTGAAGAGCTATTGGAAACTTGTAGCCGAGTAAAAGTGATTTTTATAAGAGAATGACTAATAGATTTTGAATAAAGAAAAGTTATATGAAATTGTTGAGTGCACTTTCAGTTCGAGGGAAAGTGTGATAATGTTTAGGGGCTGATCAAACCAGAAGAGGACGGTGAATTCGTCTTGGACAAGTGTCGATCGGCCTTACTGGAACATTCTTGTTGATGCTGTTTCCCAGGCAATCTCCTACGGATCCAGTGAAAATGTGATAAGCTTTCGTTCATCATGTGATGGACATCATCAGAGTGGGGTGTCATTCTTACAACAATATTGAAGCAAAGTCATCATCTTATTCCCAAATGCTGTAGATGTGCCCTATATATAAGCTCATTAATGAAGGCATAAAGCGATTTTGTTAGTTCAAGTTACATTTCGATCTCTAAGCACGCGCAAGTCTGCTTGTGTGCTTATGTGCCTTCATATTCTCGTATATGCACAGAACAAGCAGTGATAGTTGAAATTATTAGAGTAGAATTTAACTTCTGTTTACGATCATAATTTGACGATAATCCCCAAATACTTTACTTTGTATTTTAGCGCATAACTCTGTTTGCTTAATGTATGGCAAATGTTACCGCTTCTCTTTTATGAATTCCTTCAGTAACTTAGTCTGGTGGAAAATCTACGTAAATTCTTTCTAATTGCACTTCCGACTTGCTTTACTTTTCTATTCGACAGTCGCTTTAGGTTACTATTTTTAGCCTAGCCAACAAGCCTTTATTTATCTTGCCTAATCTAGCCAAGTAGGTAGGTGGCGCCAGTTGATGAAAATGTGCAAGTGGTTCATGGGAGAATGAGAAGAGAAAATTGATCTTGTATTATAACAACATTAATTGAGCTGACGAGTACGTCGGAAAGTTGATTTAGAATCCGGTTTATCAATGTCATTATGATGTATCCTTCGATTAAAATTTAAGGAAAAAAGATTATTTTTACAGATAATATTTTATGTATTATTACTCAAAGGTTGGTCAAGAAGTTTAATAGATTTTTAAGGGCAATAATTGTACAAAAAAAGTGAATCATACTAAATCAAAGTACACTAAACTTGGCTAGACTCAGAATCTGGTGAACAAGTTTAAACTAACTACACATTCTATCAGTCTTTCCTCACCTTAAACGAAATAGGGTGAAAACATCTCATATAACTGATTCAATGGTAGTCTCAAGACCCTATTTATAAAATAAAAAATTACACATTCTATTTTCCAAATTCAAGCAATGGGCAAAGTAAACGATTCCTTCCCTTTTATTAACTATTAGCTATTAGTATTAAAAATAATGGCAGTAATAATAAACAAAAGAGAAGCACAATGTGCCATTATGTAGCACATCCTGGCCATTTTTTCCTCAATAATGTGGCTGTATTGGCATGTTGATTTTTGATATATTTGTCACCTAAAGGTATTTGAAGAAATATATCTTATCGAATCAAATTGAAATGTATTTAGAAATTGGCAGCCCTCGTTTTCGCAACTTAATCGTGTTTTCAGGGGCACTAAGTTGGGCGCACCTCGTATGAAATCCTCCGCTATAGTAGTCATCAAAATTGCCAGCACCGGAGCGTGGAATTGGTACATTAGACGTTTAGCCGGCATTGTAAGTGAGTCTTGCCATTCTCAGCACAAAGATAAAACTCGTCAAAAATACAAGTGAAGTCAATCCCTTTGATGAGTTATAGTCGGTGCTGAGAATGGCAATACTCACTGAGGATGCCAACGAAATGTCAGGGGATGTACCAAGTCCATGATCCGACGCTAAGAAAAATGATAACTACTATAAAAGATGGCACCTGAATGGATGCACCCAAATAAGTTGCCCTGACACGACGAGCAATATGCGAAAGCGAGCTCAGACCAAGTCTGTACATTGAAAGGAGACTGCGACCAAAATAGAGGCAGCAGCATCTTGGTCTTCATAATAGAATGTATTTAACTGAAGACAATTACAATGTAAAAGCCAATAGCTTAATTTTGAACAGCATAGTAACTCGAAATTTGTAAACAGGTTTTTTTTAAAAAAGTAGTAGTGTCTACTTGAGAGCAAAATTAAAGTGAACAAAATAATACATGCTTATTAAGAAAAAGCTCATTTTAGTAGGCGATATATCCTATCTAAATTGTAAGAGCTTTTTGTGAATAGCGAACCAACATCATACCTTTTTGATAAGATGGAGACATAAATTAACTTTCTTGAAAAATTAGTGATACCAATAGGATATCCATACATAAAAAATTGCTTTTTCAGTTAAATGTCTTTAAAAATATGTGTAAAATTAAGAAATAGTTATGAATAAAGTTAAAAAGGCTTTATTAAGGGTGTAGCGACTAACATAAATAAGAAAATAACAAAGCATTTTGCGAAATTAAGCGTACGTGAGCCTAATAAATTTTCATCTCAGAATAATAAATATGTTATTATGACTATATGTATAAACAAAATTTTATATTGCACTAGCATCAGTAATTATCCAAATATCTACGCAAAGTTAGTATGAATATAGTTGCTTACTTTCTTCTGCCTGTCTAAAAAGGTCTGTTTCAGTAGAACAATTACAGGCCATCCAGTCATCAGGGTTGATCTGACGTAAGCCAGCCAAAACTTTTGAGGTTGTCATCTTAAGACTAGGGAAGCTGGGCCCATTTTGCACTAAGGGTAAAGCGGAGTCATAAATAGCCTCTTGGGCTGTAAGAAGAGCCGCGTCGCTAGTAAACGAGGGTAGGGGTACCGAGTTTGCTTCTACAGTGCGGGCAACGCGATCGAGCAGTCTGAATAGAACGTTGTTTTGTTTTAGCAACTGGTGACTCTGAGGACAGTGATAATAGCAGCATAATAAGAATGAATGAGTTAATTAAGTAAGATAAGAAACCATTTTTCATGAAATATCTTGAAAATCCAGATTAATGATGATTCACAATTAATTTTATTACGAAGTGAAGAGATTAGCAAGCCAATTTAATCAAAATAAAAAGGCAGATAATATTAGTTAAGCAGAAGCCATCCCCAGTGAAAACATTTTGGGATTTACCTAAAGGTGTGACGAGTCTTCCCTTGTCATATAAAACATAGAGAATCAAAACAGAACATGATTTTGATAAAGCTCAAAATGTAATATTAAATGCTTGTATGTTCCCAAACTTGATTTAAAACTGAATACAGACTTGAGATAAATAGTATAATAATATTGTTTGTGTTTTGGTCTCAATGCGAGAGAGAAAGAGTGAGCTAAATGTACAAAAAAGTAACTATGATTAGGACCAAGACAAAAAAAGACTAGTTGCGTCGCCTCCTTTTTGCAGGCGACTCAACTCCTATCCTTCAGTCTATTAATTAAGCACAAGTAATTTTTACTTATCTTTTTACCAATATTCTTTACATTCAATGTACTTCCTATTCGGTGTATTTTTATGGCTGCCCTTTGACGAATTGGACGACAAGTCTCTCCAACATAAAAGCGACCACATGAACACATTATTTTGTAGCAACTGATCTAGATAATGGGTCAACTTTCTCTCTAAAAGTGGGCATAGCTGAAAAAAGTGTCGTGGTTTCCCCGAAGACCGTTTTTATTCCCCACTTCTTTACTTGTTCACCTATCCTTTTAGAGAGAATGCACGAAGGTAGAGACAACACATTAGGAAAGGTCTCCTTATCTCTCCTTACTTATTCACAACACGAAGAGCTATTCTTTATTATTCGAATGTTATTTTCAATCAAGGAATAATTATTCTCATGACATATTGTTTTAAGCCGATTCAGTTCATTGTCACAATGGTCTATATCGGCTAGTCTTATGCTTCAATAATCATAGATTTTAAAACTCCAACCTTTAATTTGTAACTATGATTAGGGAAGTAAAGTATAAAGCTAGCATGTGTTGGCCTTCTATAGACATCCCTGCTTAACTTCTCACTTGCTCTGATCACCAAGACATCTGAAAAGGGTAAATTATTGTTGATCTCCATCTCCATTTCTAGCTTAATATTGCAGTCAATCCTTGTCATGCTGCCATATGGCGAAGTAGTCATCCATATATCAACTAATAGTTTGGGTGTAAATCTTACCTCTTCCATGAAGTGTTCCTCCATTCTTGACATATAATTATTAGCCAAAATGGGAGCCAAGCAAGATTCAATTGCTAGGTCTTGCACTTGTTCATAAACTTTATCATTAAAGATGAAGTATGTGCTGCTTATGGATAGATTAAGAAGCCTTAATATTGAGCCTCGAATTAGTCACCAAGACTCAGGGGAGGGCGAATAACGCCTCGAGTATCATAGATGGGGTGGCAGGTGTCGAGCGAAATACTTGAACAAAGGAGAGAGCAGACGGATCCTACGGGGCAAAAGGGAGTCTCTGATAAGACCTAGGGAAGGAGGACTGCGTTACAATTTAGCAGACTCTAATTAACATTCCCAGCACAAAGGTGAAGGGGAGTGAGAACGCTAGGGTAGAGTGTGGAGGGTTCTATTGAATGCCGCTCAAAAGGGCACATCACACTACATCTTAATAAGCACGGTAAACAGTGAAGGCGTGATACGAGGATATAGGAAAGGTGAAAAGCCCAGTGCAGAAAGAAAGCTACTACAACTGTTCAATATACATTTGTCAGAGGATCGGCTTCATTGGCTCTTTAACGAGTTGTAATATGGTGCTACAAATAGCGAGACTCACTGACGATGCCGGCGAAACGTCTGAAATGTACCACGTCCACGATCCGACTTTGAAAATGATCATACATACAATGGACTGCGGACTAGGTGTGCTTCTCTAAATTTTCCTACCAATATGACCAATTTGTGAAAACAAGGTCAAACAAACTTTAAAAAACGAATATGCTTTGCTAAAATCCTACAAGAAATTAAATAAACCAATAAATGTAGAAATGTACCAATTCAACGGTCCGTAGCTGGAAATTATCATGGCTACTAAGACAGAGGACTCTAGACAAGATACCTTTATCTATTTCTCCGACAATACGATTAAGTTGCAAAAACGAAATCAAACCACTTGTACGCAAGCGATCTCTTTATAAGCATCAATCCTTATCGAAATCTACTTTCCTTATCATTGGACTGGTTGTTACAAATGTTGAGGAGTCGAATAACTCTTGATCCGTGCGAAAAATATGGAAAATAACTAACTCATTCCTGAATTTTTCTGAAACCTAAATTTGTGCAGATTAATTTAAAGACGAAATGAATCTGTTAAGAGGTCTAGTAAGCTATGGGGATTAATTCGTTAAAACAAGGTTTAGCAAAAACCACATAGCTAAAGATATTGGATATAAAAAATCTCATTCATAATAAGATAAAAGTATATTCATGAGGGGTTGGTGCCGAAAGTCCAAGCAAATCCTGAACAAGAGTTCCAATCACCCTAGGTTGGATAAGCTGATGAAAGATTCATAGTTAAATTTTCCTACAATTCTGTTGATTGAATTTCATTAAATTTCACGTAGCCTTATTTATCAAATGGTATTTACATCCAGAATGGATTGGAACTTAGACCTCATCTATGTCTCATCAATATCCCCAAAAGAAATAGTACCTGGGGTATTTAGTGTATAATGTCGATAAGTTACCACGCTGTCACGATTAAAAGAGCAGAGGTGCATTTTAAGGAAGCCCTTCTTTGTGTCCTGTAACTCAGAGGCAATCGTGGCGATGTGGCGTGTTTGTAAAGTGTCAGGGAAATAAGTTTCACTGATTAGTTTTGATTTCTGCTGGATGGGCTGATGAGCTCAGGGCAAGATCAAAACTGCAGTCCATTCCAGAAAAAGCCTTTTTCAAAGTAAGGATATACTAAAT